GGAGGCGGACAGCGCGGGCCTCCAGCTGGGATGTCGGTGTGGACACGAGCTAAACGCAGTACCAGCTGCTATCGCTGTCTATCTGACAGCGCGGAAGGCGGATGCTGCACTGCTTCGTTGGCCAGCAAAGGGCAGTGACATCCTTATTTGTGCCCCTGAGTCAGGCCGAACACAGTTCTGTACCGTTGCATCGTGACCCGTTGGGCTACTACGAGCAGCGCGGTATTTTCCACTGGGACGCGCCGCGTCATGCATCTTGCCAAGTCGTATCAATGCATGCGCTCTGTAGGCGTTCTGTGGCTAACCAAACTTCACTGTGACCACAAACATGTGCGGTAGTCAGTAGTGAAAATATTCCGAAGTGATAAACTTCGTTCGTGTTTTATGCTACTTTCTGTCACTCACCACAACCGCAAAAATCTCTCAGAATATGGATAACTGATGCCAGCTGTTCCCATAACGATGATGATACAGTGGTGGCGCGACCGTACCAGTGCTAGATAAACTTTAACCAATCAGTCACGTTAGTGCCTGGGAAATGGCCGGTGCTGTTAAGAGACCACTGAATCCTTGTCACCGCGTGCCTTCATAATGCGCCAGATTCGGGGAATTACAGGCTCTCGTACTGAACTGGAGACGACGTGGAGCCTCTGTTGCGCCATTCCTGGTGCTGACCTGACCCAAGGGAACAGCAATACTGGTGTTGACATGATCACCGAATCAACTGAACCGGTACAGACCTGGACGTAGGTATCATCAACCCACTCTGACCTGACCCTGGGAGCCAATGTCAGCGCGCCGAACTGTGGCTTACCTGACACCAGGGGTGATCGGCTCACCTCGACCTACACCAGGAGTCATCAACTCACCCTAACTTGACCCCGGTGCCCCAGGCCAGCGCGTCTCTCCGGACGTGACCTGAGCGCGCGGAGCAGCGGGTGCACCGGCAGCGCCGTGATCGATATCCGGCGGCGCGGCGGGCAGCCGGCACACGCGCTGGCGCCGCCTAATTGACATCGAATGTTTCCGCCTGCCGAGGCCGGCGACAGCCATTGGTCACGGCCGTCGTCGCAGCTCGCCCCCGTCATGATCAATGTGCCCGACCGTGAAATCGGATTGTGCACGAGCCCGTGCGCAGGCGCCCCCCCCCCTGCCCCCCTCAGCCGACCCCCGGCCGTTATCGTTTACCCAGACCAGCTGGAGGGGAGGGGGAGCGTCACACGAGATTGGCGCCAAGTCACCGTCGCCAAATAGGGCGGGGCGAAGATCAGCTGGCTCTGGCTGACTTATCCCGTCACTGGTCTGGCCACAGATGAGTTTTGCTAACCGGCCCTGATCATAGCTGTGTGTCTGCGACTGGGTCTGCCCGCCGCCAAAGGCCTGTCACAGGTCTGACTGGTCAGATGATAGCTGTGGATGAATTTCTAGTCCGACTGGTGGTCCGTCCCTGGTCCTATGGAAGCTGATGGTCTTTTTCTTGTCCGATCGTACCTGAAGCCCATCGGTGGGCTCGTCGTTGCTCAGGAAGCGACTCTGATCTGATCGCAGTTCAGGGCCCGTTAACTTGTCGGCTCGAAGCTGCTGTCCTTTCTTAAGCTTTGTCCTTTCTGTCTTTCTGATCTCTTAATCCGAGGGCCCGTCGCGGCGACGAATGCTTTTGGGTTGCCCTCTAAAATCCAGTCGTAGTAAATGCCCCCTACTTATTTGGTGTAGCCATTCATTAGTTTATTCATTTTTATTCACTTTCATTTCATTCACTGATTGCAAACATGAAGTGTTGTTAAACTTGCATCGCACGTTTCATAGCGTCCGTTTCTGGATCCGTGTGTATCGTTCTTGGTACCTACACCTAACCTTTTATGGTGCCAGTTAATGTTATCCGAACCATAACCAGACAATCTTAAGTTTTGAGCCCATAGAGAGCATAGGTGTCATAGGAGCTAGACTATCGCATGGAGCCCACAAAAGAATTGGCCAGAGCCATTCAGATTATACCGTGCGTTGTAAGACGTAGGCATGGAAGGATGAAACAACAGTGTCTGCCAGTTCCCTTCATAATTCTTAATTTACCGATCTGCTTTGCTTTTTGTACGGACCGGAGCAATCATCGCCATTCCAAAGGCCCCATTTTATCTGTAGCCGACGGCTAGCGCGCCGGTTCCGTGTGGGCATGTCAGACGCTCTAGTTGTGTCGTATTTTCAGAGATTAGAAGCTGTAAGGAAACACAGTGTACAAACACAGGTACCTATCCATTGGCGTGATACAGCCATGCAGTGACGCCGGGATAAGTGTATATAATTAAATATTAGGCATGTGGCTATGCCGCCTCATAAGGCTGTTTGTAAAACAGGAAAGCAGAGCTTCGGCGACAGCCGGTCCGCTATGCCGTACGGAAAAAACATTCACTTTAGGCGTTCACAATGGGGGCAACCACACAGCAGTAGGTCTAAAAAGACAGCTGTTCCATGTGATGTCACATGCCACAGGCCACAGCTTCTCCCCGGGATGATGCCTGCCGATCCATCTGCCCCCCCCCCCCACACCCCCTCTTGCGCGCGACCCTCCATCATGCGGCGCGGCGCCTGACGACGCCGCTTCCGGCGCCCTGGCGCGCTGGCGAGGTTGATAAAAACGCCGATGCGTCGTGACCGGCTTCCTGCCGCTGAGAGCAGGCATTGTTGCGCGGACGTACGCTGCCTCCACGTCCGGCCCGGAGCCGGCGAGCGCCGGCGAGGTCGGACGCCGAACGCTGAACCCCGGTCAGAGACCGCCAGGCCGGGGAGCATGACACTCAACAGCTCTGAGCTCCAACGTCGTCGTGTCCTTTATCTGCTTCCAACGCTGGAAACTGCGTGGTCTTAGGTGAAACGCCTTGGACCAATCTTCGTTACGTTTGTTTCCTTTTTGCGGGGGGGGGGGAGAGCATACAGAATTATGATATCCCCGGCGTTGTATTCTCGGCGGATGATGAGGTGATACAAAAACCATGGTTACCACTTACCCCCGCTTTTTCCAATGAGAATCACGGTGCAAATGCTAAAAATTTTCCAGAAGCGATCTTCTCTCTCTCCTCTCTCTCTCTCTCTCTCATCTGCTCTCTCTCTCTCTCTCTCTCTCTCTCTCTCTCTCTCTCTCTCCCGTCTCTCTCTCATCTCTCTTCTCCTTTCTCCTCTCTCTCTCTCCTCTTCGCTCTCTCTCTCTCTCGCTCTCTCTATCTCCCTCTTCTATGCACCGCCCACCTCGCACGTTCGCCACCCTCTGAACGGGAGAAGGTGTGAGACAAATATTTCCTAATCAGATTGTAGTTGTTTTGAGATTATCAAACGGAGATGGATATATTTACTTGAATGAAGATTTTGTTGGACAACAAAGGTTGTGTAGGTAATCTATAGATATGGTAGTTGCATCTTTGCCAGGTAAACTGACGCACATATGGCAAATGTGTTAAAAACGGCACCAGGTGGCACCAAGGGACTTTGATGGTTTAATGCTGGTACGCGTGACAAGCTGTGTTGGGGGCGGTGTGTGGCGGATTGTGGTTACAATAGGCCTTTCATTCAAGTTAAAGGAGAAATGATTAGCCCGGAGATAGTTCTGAATTTTTCTGCATTGTCGTGCACCCTGGTTAGAGAAGAGAATTTCCCAAATTAAGTTCATGAGTGACATGATGATTTGCCGATGTCCAGCATTGCCACTGAATTCATTTAATGACCGCATTTATCAGTTGACATTTGAAGTGGATACCTGGTGTACATGAAGTAAAAAGTTATTGAATATTATGCCCCTTCTTCAAAAAATGTGTTAAGGTGCATGTTTCCAGATCAATGCAAATGTTCATGGATGGCACAGATTGTGACGTAACATTCGTCAAAGTTTTAGTCTTTCCAACTCATGATATTAGGCTTTGCCACTTTTTGATGAAGGTCTGTGTTCAAGTCAGCAAGAATTCATCCACTGTGTCAGATGGTCAGGTGATACCATTTTTGATGATGGCCTGTATTCCAGCCTGCAAAAATCTCAATGTCAGATACTGAGGTGATACTAGTTTGCTGAACCTTTGCAGGGCAACCTCAGGGCCAGGCTGAATTACATTGAGTAATTTGATTGTTCTGTATGCAAAATGTTTTTGGGATACTAATGCCTGAAACTACTGGCTTAACACCATGATTCCCTGAAACATTGGCTCTCTATGCACTGATGTTAGTGGTAACCATGCACCATACTAAATGCCCAGGTTAACAGCTTGCACATACTGATATTTTTCTGCAGTGTCACTGTTATGTCAGAAGTGTTTGCTGTAAGATGCATTTGCTATATTCTGGGCTGTACTTCCATCATATCATCACTCATCTATGCTTTTTGAGAAGTGAACACCTATGAACTTTTGGGTGTTTGTTTGCCCATAGTTTTTTGTGTAAATTTAGCAGAAATACTCCAAATATTTTGATATCACTGCATTTATTTGACAGTGAGCATCAACATCTTTTGACCAACTTGCTTGTTGTCTTTGTGTCCCCACTGTGGCCAGTTTGAAACATCTGTCTTTCAGGCCATGGGCCTATTTCAAATTGGTGTGCTGAGTCTAGTGCTCATATGAGACAAACTCACCACACTAATTTAAGCTGAGTTTCCAAAGAATTGTTCTTGTAAGAAAATCCCAGAGTATTTTTTCATGTAAGTATCATAACAGCACTTTAGTTCCTACCAATATCAGCTTGCAACACATTGAAATTGGTGGTGACCATGCATGAAACATGGAGCACTTTCAGTTACTACATGCAAGCACTGAAATTTTTGTTGCAATACTGCAGCCACTCTGGATGTGTGTGGTATTGCATGTACTTTTTGCAGTCTACTTCTGCAGTGGTAGTTTGCCAATGACAAGCAAACTTTCCATTTGTCTTTTTCTGTTTCTTCTTTGTGGTTGTAATGGTGCACTTATTCTAAATGTTTATGCTGTTGCACTGTCAAAACTAATTGTGTGGTCTTATGTTTCCAGATTCTAGTAATTGACTGATCTGAGCTGAGTGCTCAGAACAGGAGGTTGAAGAATCAGGGCCCAGCATTTCCTGTGGGCATGTCTTCTCTGAGGAATGCAGTGAAGGGACAGAAATTTCACAGGGAGAGACATCAGGTGGGCTGTCGTGACCTTAATGTGGTTGTCAAATGTCTGTATTGTTATCTGCTCATGTATTAAAGCTCTTTGGTATTCCATGAGCTGAGCTGCAAGCTGGCTTGTAAGCCTCCATGATCCAGTAGGCATGAGCTTGTGATTGCCACAGCCAAAGCAGACTTTTTCCTGCCAAGTTTTTAATTGTGTTTGGAACATTTTAATTTTAGTGTCTGTGCTGAACTGATAGTTAATGACACTCTTCTCACAAACCCTTTTTGCTCATGAAATACATTTAGCATGTTGCACTCCTGAGGTCAAGGTTAAAGTACCCAGTTTTAAAGATTTGTACAGAAAACAATGATGTACTTGGATCACATGTTGCAGTGCCACCCAGTGTTTTTGTACATTATGCACTCAAGATTGCAGGGACTTATGTGTCACTGAGGGTCCACAAATTTTTGAAAAGCCCCAAAGGGTGGACTGAATGACAATCTTGAATTTCTGATGAGCTATGCGTATGAATGTCATTACCTGGATAGTGCGCTCTCAGCACAAGTGTTCGCTATAAAAAGTAGCTCTGATGTTTTACTTATGCACTTATATGTCATTGGTCTTGTGCATGTTATTGTTATTTGTTGCAGCCTGCCCCCATATGAAGGTTAGCTGGACCGTGTGCTCTCAGCATAAGTGTTCATTATAAAAAGTAGCTCTAATGTTTTAATTATGCACTGAAATGTTATTGATCTTGCTCATGTTGTTGTGATTTGTTGCAGCCTGCCGCCAGACAACACCTCGGACATCTAGAGAAGAAGCGGGACTACAAGCTCAGAGCAAAGTACGTCACAAAGCAGCGGCTGTATTCTCGAGTACTTGCGTGCCTATTTTTGCACTGACCATGTTTTGGATTGAATTTACAGTAGAATGACTGCAGCCTACCCGGTATGTGAACCACCCGAGCAATTGCTCGCGTCGCCCGGAGGGGGCCGCGGTTGCGATGGCCGTGGGGCGTCCGCGCGCCCCATCCCTGGCGGTGTCCGAGCACTTGGGCGCCGCGTGTTGTCACATTAAGTCACCAGATGTCGGGCATTACTCGTTATTTGCCGCCCGGTCGGCCGCGCTGGACACGTGGAATAATCGGCGGACGCGGGGCGGAGTCGGCTGCCGACGGCGCGCGCCCACTGGGCCGACCGGCGGACACGCCCCCCCCCCCCCCCGTGGGCGCGCACCCAGCCCCCCACCCCCAGGGGGTCGGCGGCCGGCGACGCGCGCCCACTGGGCCGACCGGCGGACACGCCCCCGGTGGGCGCGCACCCAGCTCCCACCGCCGAGGAGGGTGTACTGAACATCCGGGAATGAACCCCGCCGGGTGCTCTGAAACAACCGCTGACCCTCAGCCTCGTTTTTGGAAAGGTTGTGTGTCCAACGTGCTGGGTCACTGCAGGGCAGGAGAGGTGCTTGGGAAAAGCTGTGATGGGCATGCAGGTAGTCCGTGTCGGTTGTAATCATCTGGAATGTTTCTGTTGTTTCCCGGCGTCTTTGCTTGACTGTCTGTTGAACCGAAACGAAAGCGAGCTCGAGTAGCGCGTCTCCACTTTTGTCAAAAACGTAAGCATCAGGGTGATTGATTGATTTTTATGCCATGCATCATGCTGATTGAATAATTGTCCGGACGGTCGTCCTTGTGTGGTGAGTTCGTATGTACACAACGTTTCGGCCAGTTGATTGTCCGGCCGTCTCCAGGTGTTGCTAAGTCCTGAGAGGGACTGAATAACGTTTGGCTATCAGCCATGTATGCGTTACAGCCAGTGTTCTCTCCTGGACATTGGTGAGGTTCGGACCGGAGTCTTCTGATTGCTAGTCCGGTGTCTGGGGGTTCTTTCTGGTTTGCCCATCTGAATCCTTCTGTAAGACTGCAAACATTATGTTGCTTGTTCTCCGTCCAGCGGTTTTAGATTAGCCTGCGCGCTAGCGGAGTTATGTTACATGGTTGTTATGTGCAGTGGTCAGGGTCATGGCATTGAGCAGGGTCATAGTTTTGAGCTGAACAAGAGATGGGTTTTTTTATGCCCCCAAGCTTCATGGCAGATGGTTGGTGTTCTTGACACCCGTCGCCAATTTCAGTGAAGACAATAAAAAGAAGCACCAGCTGAAGGCCCTGAAAAGGAAGGCTCTGAACCGAAATCCGACGAGTTCTACTTTCACATGGTCAACTCTGCAACGAAGGTTAGCGATGACAGGTTTCGAGTTATTTGGATACCACAAACACGTTGGTTTGCTCTAGCTCTCCCCCACAGGGGGTGCCATGGTAGAGTGTGGCGTGATATGCCCCCTCCCCCCCCCCCCCCACACACACACCACCATCGTCTTCCGGGGTGACCATCACCCCGAGGTACCGGAGGGCGCTGAGCGTGGGCCGTGGCGTGGCTGTCGGCTTGAGGTAAACCAGTACGGCGCGCCTCGCGGGTCACTCTGTACCGGCTGATGGTCGGCAGGACGGGCGTCACCACGAGGTGGTGGAGGAGGAGGAGCTGCCGGAGGAGCAGGTGGCGCTGCTGCAGAGCCAGGACATCCGCTACATCCGGCAACGACGGCAGCTGGAGACACGCAAGCTGGCCCGCCTGACGGCCGAGCTGCACCTGCTGGACGCCGAGGGCAAGCAGAAGAACACGCACGTCTTCTTCACCGACGACAAGCGGGAAGGTGAGGGAACGGCCGGCGGTGCGGAGGATTTGGTTGCTGTGCTTGCGAGCGCGGATGATGTGTGCCGACCCTCTGGGAGCGGATGTGGATGTTACATTCGCTGCGTGTTGTCAGCAAGATAGTCAAGCTTCACCCGGATATATGCCAGCTGGGTGTGAGCTTCACTCGGATGTATCCCAGCCGGGTGTTGCCAACAGTTTTCGAGTCCCGGGGTATATTTGGATGCCTGGTATACTGCAAAGACGTGCTCTACATGCAGAGACGGACTACCATGAGCCATTTATGGATGTACAACGCATTTCGAAAGCATTTGGAGCGGCGCCCTCTTCCCCGTGACATTTGGGGAGCGGGTCACAACTGGCGCCACGACATCCGTGCAGCTGCTAGCATCTTTTGACGTGCGGTGCAGCGAGATAGTTGGCACTGTTCTGCAATGCTGTTTAATGTCACCCTGTGATCATCAGCAGGGGCATCACATATGTTGTTGGCTGCACTAAGGCAGCATCTTAATACGGATCATGGTACCTACCTGTCTCTAATTGTACGATGACGCACCTGTGCAGTACATGATGTACACTACCCCATTCATTATATATATGATCGCTTCTCGTTGGAAGTAAATGCTCTGTATTTGGAGATACAATTGGGCCTTCTGCTTGCCTGTCTGCCCAGTGCTTAAGCAAGCCCCGACCACCGTGGTGAGGACGCGTGCGTGCCCCGAGAGTGCCGTGCCCCGCCTTCTGCGCGCCGCGTGCCGGCCGCGGTCAGCTGTGACCCTGCCACCTCGTGGCGTGCCTCGGAGCGGCCGGCGCCTCCCCTGGCGGCTGTCATCGGCCGTCTGACCCCCCACCCCCCTCCCGCTGCTCCAGCCCGTAGCCTGGACGTGGCGGCTCGGCTCCGGACGGCGCCCCAGCTGCTGGACCGCGCCTACAACCGACCGCGGCTGGAGGCAGCTGGCGCGGCTGCCGTCCGCCGCCAAGCTCAGCGAGCAGCAGCTGGACGTGAGAAGCGCGGCGGGAGGACGGAAGGGACTAGGAGGACAGTCGGTAGCGGGACTGGGAGGACAGACGGCAGCAGAACTGATAGGACAGACGGCAGCGGGACTGGGAGGACAGGCGGCAGCGGGACTGGGAGGACAGACAGCAGCGGGACTTGGAGGACAGACGGTATCGGGACCGGGGAGGACAGATGGCAGCGGGACTGGGGAGGACAGGACGGCAGCGGGACTGGAGAGGACAGACGGCAGCGGGACTGGGAGGACAGTCGGTATCGGGACTGGGAGGACAGACGGCAGCGGGGACGTGGGAGGACAGCGGCAGCGGGACTGGAGAGGACAGACGGCAGCGGGACTGGGAGGACAGTCGGTAGCGGGACTGGGAGGGCAGACGGCAGCAGAACTGATAGGGCAGGACGGCAGCGGGACTGGGAGGACAGGCGGCAGCGGGACTGGGAGGACATACGGCAGCGGGACTTGGAGGACAGACGATATCGGGACCGGGGAGGACAGATGGCAGCGGGACTGGGGAGGACAGACGGAAGCGAGCTGGGAGGGACAGGTGGCAGCGGGACAGGGGAAGACAGGTGGCAGCGGGACAGGGGAAGACAGGCGGCAGCGAGGCTGGGAAGGACAGATGCAGCGTGGCTGGGGAGGACAGGCGGCAGCGAGAAAGGAGAGGCAGACGGCAGCGGGACTTGGAGGATAGACGGTAGCGGGACTGGGGAGAACAGATGGCAGCGGGACTGGGGAGGACAGACGGAAGCGGAGCTTGGGAGGACAGACGGTAGCGAGAAAGGGAAAGTGCAGACGGCAGCGATGACTTGGAAGACAGGTGATTGTGGGCTGGTGTGTGTATGTGTGTGTGTGGGGGGGGGGGGGGGGGCAAATAACCATAACCGGCCCTGTTGGCGTTGGCTCAAGCTCGCAAACTCATCAAACCACTGCCGTTCTTATCTCGCACCTGCCTGCCGGATGGCGCCGTTGTAATCTTTGTTGATCATAAGTAAAGGCTAGGAACCATGTAAGGCCTCGCTCGTCAGAGTAGCCATTTGGAACCCACCCTCTGCCAATTTGTGGTGCGTAACGCGTGCCGGCGTACGAGATTTCGCTTGAACGCTGAACTGTTTCGTGTCATCAGTATGGTCGCGGGCCCCAGCTGTCTTATTATGTGTGTCATTACGTTCTCGCCCGCCGCCAGCGCATCCTGGAGGAGAAGAAGGCCCGCTACAGCGAGCTAACCAAGCGTCTGGAGCGGCAGAAGACCCTGGCGCTGATGGAGCGGAGGATGGAGGTGAAGCGGCACCTGCAGGTACGGCACTGAACCGCCACTTACTCGCCTGTATCGCCGACGCGCTGGTCGAGGGTGGACCACCGCTGACATTGGGTGGCATGGACGCCAGCACGAAGCCATTGCCGTTTGATGTGGGCTCTCAGGCTTTAGAGCTGTCTTGCACAGTAGGTCGTCGGTGAAACTGTCTCAAGCGTTCTTAGACAGGTCCTGACACCTTGTTGCTGCGTCGGATTCCAGGTTTATGGGCGCATCGCGTCTTTAGCTTATGTTTGTGCTTCGCCATGTCTATTCATTCGCTGCCGCTTTAGCATGCTATTTGCCGTCGCACGATAAGCGAGTCGTCATTGACTGCCCGGTACCGTGTGTTTTACGGCATGACGAAAGAATGCGTTACTGGTCTTCCAGGATAAGAAGGTGCTACCACCGAAGAAGGTGCACCCGGGCAACTCCAAGCAAGCGCCGGTGTACAAGTGGAAGACGGAGAGGAAGCGTTGACCAGGACAGGATCAGTGTTGGTGGCAGAATGGCCGGCGACTCGGTGATCAGCTGGCGAAAGGGAAATGGCGCACCGCACCGCATCTACAGATGGCGCCACCGGTCTCGAAATACACGATGGGTACTGTTTGTTGTTTGGCTTTGGGACGTTCGGTCGCAGTTCTCGAGCTATGACGTGAGTATGACGCACACATTTCGGCGAAGAGCACTATGGCAGCGTCCGCCAGCGTATTCTGAGTGCATTGAGCGCAGCTGGGTTCTAATTAAATCCGATAGCACAGATTACGAGATCGAGTCCACCGAAAAAACCAGGCCAAACTGATCTTGGCTCCTTGTGGGCCCCTTGGGCCCTGCTTGCTGGGGAGAAGTACGACTATGCAGTCTATGATGCAACATGATTTAGGGCGAAGGAGAGCTGGGTGGGTGTTATCAGTAGAGGAAGCGGATGAATGCATGCATGGAACGCGGCCAACACCAGGCTTATCCGACGCTCGAAATGCATCATTTCATAATGCAGCACCTTCGAAATCGGAATCAATTGAAGCACCATGGCGGGCCATGTACGTGACGACAACGAGGCGTAAGAAAAAGGAAAAGCAGACGGCAAACAGACGGCGCGCGGCGACGTGATTGGTAAGAACCCTCTACAGATTGGTGCTTTACTGGAATTTGGCAGCGCATTTTCAAAGACAATGTGACGCATAAATGACATTGGTTGGTTTTCGCCAACAGGATTATTTACTACCGATGCTGATTTCCTAGGAGTTTGTTGCGCGTACCACTGAAACAATTGCGAATTATTTCACGTGACATAACTGGTGGTGTAATAATCGCACGTAAAATAACTCTTTGCGCATTTTTTTGAGGTGTGTTCTTGCTTAGGCACCATGAGGGCATTATATCTCCCATTCAACTCAGTTGGTTCTGATTCTTCAACTAGTGTTAAATTTGAGGCTGGGCCATATCTCAGCAAGCTGGTAAGTTGGCAGCGGCTTTCTTTACTTTGGTACTTGCATGGCTGATTGAGGGATAAGTTCTCCTTGATTACTGCAAACTGGCTTGTTATTTCTGAATTTGGCCCTGGTTATTTAATTCAACATTAACTCTTATGTGTGGATAGACTTAACAGAGTGTTCTACTTGAAACCTCTTCATCCTTACCAAGTTGAATGATCAATGTTTTGGTTTGTGTGAACTGAAAAATATTCAAGGAAATTTGATTTCAGTCTCTTTGAAGTCCTTGGTTCTAAGTATTTATATTTTGTGTATAATAGAATAGAGTGAGCTTCCAACTTAACCTACCCTTATTTCAAAAGCAAATTATGATTAAAAATCATTGAAATTTGTTGCTCTGGATTACACTTGTGACTCATGGAGGGAACACTTATAGGCTGGTATGTTGTAGGTTCTTTTTCACCTTGAAGTTTTTTCAATTGCATCTGGTCGCATTTTAATCTTCAGTGAATTAGTTTGAGGGCTTGTTGTGTTTCAAGCTGCACACTTTGTTTACCAAATGGTTTGGTGTTGTATTTTACTACTACACAGCAGCCATGATATCAAATTGCTAACATCATTGTAAAGCAATGGATAAGTCAGAAGCCATCTGCATATTTGTGTGTTCATGGTTCTACTGCCTATATATTCACAGAATTGGATTTTGGCTTGGTGCATGATGTGCCTATACATGCTTGCAGTGTTATGTATTTGCATTTCATTTTAATTTGGTTTTTTAATTCCACTTATGGTTTTTGTTGCGTTGTTTTAAGGTCACCCATCTTATAAATTATGTTGGTGTTTCAGCTGGACACACCATCATTTGAAGAGGATGAAGTACTTATACAAGTGAAAGCCTGCAATCTGACCATGTGGGACAATCATTGCTGTCCTTCATGAAGAACATTGGGCTTACCGAGGTATGCTATGAAATGTGACTGAAACAAAGCACAACTGATGAAATTCTGATGCAATGTGTCAGTCTATTACCATCACAATGATGATGTTAACAGGAAGGCACTGTTGCCATTTGCTGTCTACCTGCCTAGATGTGGTAGGTCATCATGGCTGCTGTTACTGTGATGGTGCTGAGTGAATGTTTCCTGCACTCTCATGCACTCATTGCAATATTAACTCACTTATGCATTTATGGCACTATTTAGTGGTTATGTGCCCAGTGTGGCCTTTCCTCATATTTTCCCTCTGACCCCAGTGCTGACCCCCACCCCACAGCTGGCGATGGGCCAGGACTTCTCGGGGGTGGTGCACCAGGTGGGCAGCGCCGTCACGCTCTGGAGCCCTGGAGAGCATGTCATGGGCATTGTTCCTATCGACGGCAATCGGCCCGCCTGCGCCGAGTTTGTCGTCGTCAGCCAGTACGATATCGGTAGGTGATGTGCGCACGCGAGCGCGGCGTGAGCGCAGGCGTTCTTGCCACGTTCTTCCGATGTTTTTCGTTTTTCTGATATTTGGAGTCTGTTTGTAAATGCATTAGGAGGCCTTACACATGGGTGTGTATGCTCGCAAAATAAAGAAAAAGAATATTGAAGCGTCAACCATGTGACATTTGCACACTTTTCCCCTCGCTTGTGTGCTCGTAAAGACCGTAGAGCCCATCCAGCGCGGGGGTTGCCCCGGGTCGCCTGTAATCCACAGAACCTGCCTGTCCCAGAGGAGCAGGCTGCCCCGCTGATGTCCCATAGCCAGCCGGCCACTGAGCGCGTGGCGCTGTGTTACAGTGACCAAGCCTGCCGCTGTGTCGCACGCGCATGCGGCCAGCTGTCTAGAGGACGCGCTGCGGGCCTACACGGCGCTCGTCTACCAGGCCCGGCTGCGGCCGGCCGACACCGGTATGGAGCGGCGTGCTCGGGTGCCTGTCCGACGCGCAGTTTCGACTGCCGGCTCGACTTCAGGCTCGACTGCCAGCTCGACTGCCGGCCGGGCTTCACGCAGTCTTCGGGCCGGTGGTTAAGGCCGATGTGACAGCAATGTCAATGTCGTGACCGCTCGCTCCAGAAGAGCGTTACCAAGCTATGGGGAAGAAACATTCTCCACAGCCTTGTCTGATAGTTAATGGCCGCACCCAATTGGTTGGGTGGAAGATGAATGTGGAAGAACGGATCTGCAGAATGTGAGATCCGATTATTGTGAGAGTCCGCAGTCTGCAGATGTCAGATGGCAACAGCCACCTTGTACTCCTTAACTGAGGTTTTTGTGCTTAATTTAGGTGGATCTGTCGCGTTTTTTTGTTGCTGTCTTTATATTTTTGAATCTCGCTTGTAAATTTTATTATTTTTTCCAGCTGCATTTGTGTACTCATGGCATGGTCTTTCAGGACATACATGCCTTTATTCGCAATGAAGAAAGGAATGAAACGTGCTGGTCCAGGCCTTATATTGAGCGTTGGTCGTGTAAGCTAGTGTCATTGCATTTGTTGTCGACCAGCGCTGACCTGATTGTGGAATGCAGCTGCGCTAAGTTTTTACGGTTTCGCTCTGTGGGTGTGCAGGGGGAGTGTCGGGCTCGCAGCCAAACGACGTTACCCTGCCGACCGGTTACAGTAGGGGACGCTTTCCAAGCTTTGTTCCTAGCGCGTGCCGTTCCGTCCTGCTTCGTGAAGCGCCGGGACACGGGCGGGTACCGGGCCTGTCCGCCAGTACGGGCGGCAGACGGCGGACGCCGCCGCTGACGCCCGGTGACGCCGCGCCCCGGTGCCGTTTCAGTGTTCGTGCCGTGCGGCGCGACCGGCTTCGGGTCGGTGCTCGTGCAGCTGGCTTCCCACTTCGGGGGCAAGGTGATCACCTCGGCTCACTCGGATGACGAGAAGAGCTACCTGGAGTCGCTGAAGCTGGACATTGGTAAGGAGTTGGCTCGCCAGGCCCAACCCCGCTATGACTACGAGTCGAACGATGTACCGAACCTTGCGAGCGATTACGCGTTTTTTTATCGGCCTTTCATTGGCAAGTGTTCAGCGGCTCGTCAGCTGGCCCGTCAACTGACAAGTGTTACACCCAGGCTGTGTTCATGCTGGTGGGCTAGATCCCAACGTGGCCCCTCAATAACCGAGGTCGTGACCCTCCAACATCCCAGGGACAAGTTCGATCTTTGATCCAGCAACAGCCTTTGATGGCAGCACCCTCTCTCCCCTGCCCCCCTTTAAAAAGATAATGCGACGTTAGGTCACCGAACATCCTGTTATGGAGCGCCAGCGACGGTGGCGGCCACACTGGTGCCGAATTGGTGCCCACTGGTGCCCTCGCGGTCATGGTGCAACTAGAGTTCGAACCTGGGTCCCCACGTGGGAGCCGAAGGCGCTGGCCACCCGGCCCCCGACCTCGGATCCGTGACTGTGTTGTTGCGGTTTCGGCGCTCATCTGCACCCGATGCGTGCTCTGCCGGCGGGCGGCGGACGCCAGCTTGCGACAGGCAGGGTCGGACGTGGAGCGTCCGCCGGGCTGACTGGCCGGCGCCCCCTGGCTGGCAGTGTTGCTGGACTGCGACAGGCAGGGTCGGGTGTGGTGTGTCCGCCGGGCTGACTGGCCGGCGCCCCCCTGGCTGGCAGTGGTGCTGGACTGCGACAGACAGGGTCGGACGTGGGGCGTCCGCCGGGCTGACTGGCCGGCGCCTCCTGGCTGGCAGTGGTGCTGGACTGCGACAGGCAGGGTCGGATGTGTTGTGTCCGCCGGGCTGACTGGCCGGCGCCCCCTCGCTGGCAGTGGTGCTGGACTGCGACAGGCAGGGTCGGGTGTGATGTGTCCGCCGGGCTGACTGGCCGGCGCCCTCTGGCTGGCAGTGGTGCTGGACTGCTCGGGCGGCACAGAGCCGGCCAAGCTGAAGCAGATAGTGATGGACGAGACGCTGCAGCAGGGCGTCGACATCATCGTGGATCAGGCCAACGTCAAGCAGCCGGTGGGTGGGGACAGAGCGGCGGTGGACCTGTGGTCAGACTGGTCAGGCATAAGGTGCGACCAACTTGCTCACAGGGCAACTCTGTCCTGCTGGCCGAGGCTTTCAGAAAGCCGTGCGCCATTCGTGGGTCGCCCTGCAGCGGGTTGATGTCGGCCAGCAGAATGTTTTGCGATCAATGTCTTCGCAGATGCTCGCTTTTCTTTGATCAATATCGTAGCAGATATTCGCT